TGCACCTTTACTGAATTCATTTATAAGTTTTTTGGTAGGGTCTTTAGATTATTCTAAGTATAAGATCATGTTGTCTGCTAACAAGGCTAATTCGGTTTCTTCCTTTCCAATTTGGATACTCTTTATTTCTTTCTCTTGACTAATAGCTAAAGGAAAATATTATGTAGAGATCTTTTTTTTTTTTTGAGTTGGAGTCTCACTCTTGCCCAGACTGGAGTGCAGTGGCCACTCCCGCACCACAACCTCGACCTGCTGGGCTCCGGTGATCCTTCCGCCTAAACCTTCCGAGTAGCCGGAATTACAGGCATGCGCTACCACGCCTGGCTGATTTTTTCATTTATTGTGGAGATGAGGTCTCGCTGCCCAGGCAGGTCTCGAACCCGCGGACTCAGGCGATCCACTCACCTCAGCCTCCCAAAGGTGCGGGATTACAGGCTGAGCCCCTGAGCCCGGCTACGTAGAGATTTTAAAACAAAGATCTTGTAACAAATTATATAAATGATAGTTAACATTTGTTAAGTGCTTTTCAAAAAATGACATCAAAATATCCCTGCTATCCTGTGCACACTCCTGCTCTTCATTCCTAAAAGAAAGTTAATTAGTAATGAGCATGGCACTTAATATTCCCTTAATCTTAAGCGACTATCGGGTGTAAGATGGCCATTGATTTTAAAATAGTATCTTGTTGAAAAAAAGATACTATTAGACGTTAGAGGTGTTAGATGCATGCTGCTTCCTGGAACATTGATAAAAGATAGAAAAATGTGTACATCTTAGAATTCAATAAATAATGGTGATTTTCTTGGGGCTCCTTTTATTATCTGTTAAATGAACTAGGTGATTTTAGAAGGTTATTGCCAATCTTTTATTTTGAGAGTGATAGGCAGCTACCATTGCATTCCAAACAAATTTATTCCAAACAACTCTTTTTTATTTTACAAGTATCTTGCAAAGCTGAAAGTCATACTTTATCCAAAATTTCTGTTAATTTTACCCTCACTCGTATACTCTTCTTGTAGTAAAGCCAATGAAATTGTCAAAAATGAGACTGGATTATCAAATTATAGTTGATTGAAAGGGATGACAAAGACACAGTGTAACATGAGTTTGTGATCATTTGAAATTTCTTAGTTTAATCTTGTGGAAATTTTAACAAAATGATGTATCTTTTGCTGATGATGTCTTTCATATAACTCTAGAGCAATTAATTAAAAATGAATGTACATGATTGTACTGCAGAACTATGAATTAGCTAAGAGTTCAGTTTCAGAAACTTTTGTTGCTTAGGTTTAAATTCTGACTGCCATTTCATTGATGTATGACTTTGGACAAATTATTTAATCTCTTTGGGCTCTAGTTTCCACCACCCATAAAATGGGGATACCAATAATACTATTCTTATAGATTCATCTTGAGGCTTAATACTGGCAGAGCAGTTACAGAAGTAATAAGCAGCCGGTGCAGTGGCTCATGTCTATAATCTCAGCATTTTGGGAGGCCGAGGCAGAAGAATTGTTTAAGCCCAGGTTTAAGACCAACATGGACAACATAGTGAGACCTTGTCTCTTAAAATATGTGTGTGTGTGTGTGTGTGTGTGTGTGTGTGTGTGAATAATGTACACACATACATAGACACACACACACAAATGAGGTAGGTTTGTTGACTTGAACCTGTAATCCTAGCTTTTGGAGAGGCTGAGGCTGGAGAGGTTGAGGCTGCAGTGAACTATAATCATGCTATTGCACTCCAGCCTGTGCAATAGAATGAGACTCTGTCTCTAAAAAACTAATAAAATAGGCCTGGTGCTATGGCTCATGCCTGTAATCTCAGTACTTTGAGAAGCACAGGTAAGAGAATTGCTTGAGCCCAGGGGTTTAAGAGCAGCCTGGGCAAAGATCTTGTAACAAATTATATAAATGATAGTTAACATTTCATCTCTATAATAAATCAAAAAAATTAGCCGGGCGTGGTGGTGCATGCCTGTGATTCTGTCTACTTGGAAGACTGAGGTAGAAGGATCACCTGAACCCAGCAGGTCAAGGCTGCGGTGACCATGAGCATGCAACTGCACTCCAGTCTGGGTATCAGAATGAAGCTCTGGCTCAAAAAAAAAAAAAATTTAATTAAAATAAAAAACATAGTAGTATGCCACATAATAAGCATTTAAATGTTAGCTATTTTTTATTATTATAAAAATAAGAATTTATGAATGGGGTTAATATTAAGTTTAAACACTTGAGTGCTAAGATTATGTAATTTCTTCCTGACTGGCAATATAAAGATTGGGATACACCACACATGAATTGGTATAATATACCATTTAATGGTGTATTAAGCAACATTTGTGTATAGTATATAGCAGTATACTTCCAATTCCCTTCTTCCATCCTCTGTGGTGTTGTCGTGTTTTACTTTTATGTATGCTACGAACACACATTACATTTCTATTATTGCTTTAGACAGCCATTTATCTTTTCAAGCAATTAAAAATAAGAAAAATAATTTTATATTAACCTTCATTTACACCATTTCCACTATTAGTATTTCCTTATGGAGCTACATGTATCTCTTGGCATTGTAGTTCCTCCAAACTGAGGTTTCTTTTATTTTGCTGGTAATGACTTCTCTGTTTTTGTTTCCCTGAAAAAAATCTGCTTTTATTTTCTTTTTCAAAATGGTATAGGATTTCCCCCACCAGTGGTATAGGATTCTTGGTATTTTATTTTAGTGATTTAAACATTTCATTGCATTGATTTCTGTCTTATGTAATTTTGGATGAGAAATCTTCTATACTTTTGTGTGTGTGCGTGTATCTCAGTGTAGCTTTTTTCTTCTTTTTGCCTTGAAAATTTGCTTTTTATCTTTGATTTTGAGTATTTGAGCATGATTTGTCTATTTGGGTTTTGGGGGTTAGAGGTGTAATTTATCCTGCCTGTTCTAGCTGTGGTTTTGTATCTTTATTAATTTTGGAAAATTCTCAGCTCAGATATTTCTTCTGTGCCATTCTCTTTCTTTTCTAGGATATCAATTACATATATTTTAAGTCATTGATTTTTTTTTTTCCTCTTCATGGTCCATTTTGGATAATCTTACTTGACTCTTGTGTTTACTTTTGAGCCATTCCAAATTGTTCTTCAACTCTGTTACCTTCTTTTTCCTTTGTCTCTGTTGATATGTCGGCTTTTCCTCCTGGCTTCTTTCCACAAATCTGTGGTTGAAAGATGAATGTTTTCTAAGGACAGTAGACACTGAGCCAAATAATGTTTATGTCTTTAGCTTGGGGGGATTGAAGCAATCTAGTGTGTAGTTGAGCTTTATTTTGATCTTGTTGCTATGATTAACTTCAGTGTAGTACAGGCTTCAGTTTCCAGTCTAGGGTTATCTTTTCTTTTTTTAAGATTGGAGAGTGTTTGCTAGATAATTTTTCTAATGTCTACTTTACCCTCAACTTTTGATCTTATCTTCTCTTTGTCATCACTCCTCACAAGTCTCTGTTCATACTTTTCCCTCTCCCTTGCTTGAACCCAGGAAGTCAAGGCTGCAGTGAGCTATGATCATTCCACTTCACTCCAGCCTGGGTGACAGAGTATACTGTATACTGTAGTTATTTATTTATACTACTGTGTACTGTAGTTATTTAGTATACTGTAGTTATTTATTCCTCAGTGCTTGCTAGCACAATGGTGGAAATAGCGAGTGCTAGGGATGGGGATCGTCTCTGTAGTCCTATTTCTGTGTCAGTTTTAGGCAAGATGAGACTTTCTCAATGATGCTTCTCCCCAGTGGTAGGACATCTATAAAGTTCTGGGGCCATTATGTTTTTGCCCCTCTCCCAGGGATATAGTTTTTTTTTTTCCCTATTATCATATCCAGTTGAGGCTGAGAGATGTGGCAACTAAAAATAGTTATTCCACAAAGTGTGTTTGCTTTGTTCTTTTAATATTTTTTAGGTTCTGATCTGCAGCCATCTCCCTTGGCTAGTTTTTGCTAGGTTGAGTCACCACTGGTGTTAGAGATTGATGGTTTTGACATCAGCTGTCAGCCATTATTAAATCTATTTATAAATATCATTTGGTGAATATATATTTTTAGTTTGCATATTGACCATTTAGCTTTTATTTCTTGAAGTATTCTTTAATAATGCATTTTTATTGATAAAAATTCTGCATAGTAGATACTAGATACTCAGAGAATTGTTGAATGAGTGAATGAATTTATTGTGATTGCTGTTGCTGTTCCTTTCCTATGCATAATTTTCTTCTCTATTTCTGATTATAATACTTATTTCTGAGAGTATAAAAATATTTTTATAGTCTCTCTGTATTTATGAACATTTTGTTAGAGAATGTTTTTTTTCCAATCAAAATAATGTATATCGGTTTTAATGAGGTTGAAGGGAAGTCTTTTTGTTGCACAAAATCTTTATCATATTATTGCAGCTATAGAAGGAGGACCTCTATTCTCTTGAACCTTGATAAGGACACCAAAGAGAAAGAATAAGTATTCAGTTGTGTGAATCTGTAATATACAGATGCTGCTTGACTTACATGAGGTTACAGCCTGATTAACCCATCATAAGTTGAAAATATTGTAAGTTGACATGGCACTTAATACACCTCACCTACTAAACATGATAGCATAACATGCTTTAAATATACTCTGAACACTTATATTAGCCTATAGCTGAGCAAAATCATCTAATGTAAATCCTATTTTCTAATAAAGTATTAAACATCTCATGTAATTTGAATACTGTATTGAAGTACAGTTTCTACTGAAGGTGTATCATGTTAACACCATTGTAAAGTTGAAAAATCAATCGGAGGCTATCTGTTTTAGAGTAGCTGTGGTATATTCTTGGCTGAGTGCAATAACTTTCACTAAAATTTAGCAAAGCCTTGTTTGGAGATTTAGACAAGATTTGTTTAAGATGATAGCTACTGCAAATTCCTCAACACCTGAAACATCTCCTAAGGTTGGCTTTATCATTTTCTTCTAGGTGATTTACTGTTCTTTTGGTGGGACATCCAAAGGGCTGCACTTCAATAATTTAATAGTTGGACTCGTCCTCCTTACAAGAGGAAGAGATGAAGAGAAAGCAAAATGTAAGTACTTCTCTTCTCTCAAAATAATAATACGACATCTGTGTGCAGAATAATTTACCTCAAAATTCTGACGTCAGGCAAAGGATTTGAAGTGAAAAGTGACCAATAAGCACTTTTAAAAGTGCTTAACATAATTAGTCATTAGAAAAATATAAATTAAGACTACAGCAAGATACTTCTTCACACATATTAGGGTGACTAAAATTTTAAAGCCAGATAATAACAATGTTGGGAAAGATGTAGAAAAAGTATAACCCACATCATACATTGCTGGTGGGAGTGTAAAATGGTACAGCCACTTTGAAAACCAGTTTGGCAGTTCCTCAAACTGTTCAACATTGAGTTACCATATGACCCAGCAATTCTACTCTTAAATATATATACCCAAGAAAATTTAATACATATATTACCAAAAATACTTACAGAGATATATGGCAGCATATAGCAGCATCACTCACAATGAATTTTATTTCACAAAATGGAAGCAACTCTAATGTCCACTAACTGATGAATGGATAAACAAAATATGATATATCCATGCAAGGGCGTATTATTCTGCAGTTAAAAAGGAATAAAGTAGTCAGACACAGTGGTTCACTCCTGTAATCCCTCACCAAGGCCAGGAATTCAGGACCACCCTGAGCAACACAGTGAAAAACATTTTTTTTTGGTTGGTTTGGTGGTGTGCACCTGTAGTCCAGCTACTCAGAAGACTGAGATGAGAGGATCACTTGAGTTGGAGACTGCAGTGAGCTAGGATTGTACCACTGCTACTGCACTCCAGTCTGGGCAACAAAGTGAAATCCTGTCTCAAAAGAAAAAAAAGAATAAGTGGGTGGAGAGAAATAAAGTACTAACTCATACTACAACATGGATGAACCTGAAAACATTTTGCTAAGTGATCAGTGCCAGCCACAATAGATCACATATATGATTCCATTTATTTGAAATTTCCAGATTAGGCTGTTCTGTAGTGGCAAAAGTAGTTTTTGTTAGTTATCAGGAAACCAGGGGAGAGGGAAATGGGGAAACTGTTAATGGGTACAGGATTTCTTTTTCTTTTGTTTTTTTTTTTTTGAGTTGGAGTCTCACTCAGTCGCCCAGACTGGAGTG